GTCATGCGATCGGCCAAACAGAGCTACTTTATATGGCACTGGGGATGAGAATGGTTTGCTATTTGAAATTTTGCTATTTTCAATTCAAGGTGACATAAAGGTTATTGTAAAAAAAAAGAAAAAAAAGAAAAAAAGAAAGAAAAAAAGAAAGAAAGAAAGGTTATTGTATTGTATTGTATGGTCTAGCACTTGACGGGTACTGGCCAAAATCTTCTAGTCTTTGGCGCGCATTTACTTCCTTGAGACATGGTCAAACTGGTCCTGGAACACTTTTACTCCACATAATTTGTGTATAAACGGCAAAACAAATTCATTACGAAAGTCCAGATTTGACTATAAGCCGTTTCGATATATTGCTAATGTGCATGACAACAGTCTAGTAATGTTATTCCGTCACGGGTCCTTTAGAGGGTAACGCGAATGACCGTCACGCGTCTGACCGTCACGACTCCCGTCACGGATTGGTGATGTACAGAAGTTCCAGGCGTTCGCTGTTTGGAAGTTTATGTTTTCATCTTCCTTCACTAGCTGAAATGGTGTGGTCTTTATTCGTGAATAAGACATGAATTCTGCAAATTTAAACGAACACCTTGTGAATTCCCCGCTCGCACGTAGCCGTTTAGACGAGGAAAGAGAGTCTTCGACACTAGTTAATGATGGAAGTGGTGGTGTGTTGGTGGACTCAACTTCACTTCGCGTGGAAACCGTAAGCGAAATTCCGCAAGGACGAGAAGGTTTCAACAAGCGGCGTTTGATTAACAAGTCTGGTGAGTTAAAAGTGCTGCCGAAGAATGTTCCTCGTAAAATGAGACGGTATCTTTCCGACATATTCACGACCATGATNCGAGAAGGTTTCAACAAGCGGCGTTTGATTAACAAGTCTGGTGAGTTAAAAGTGCTGCCGAAGAATGTTCCTCGTAAAATGAGACGGTATCTTTCCGACATATTCACGACCATGATAGATCTACGCTGGAAATGGGTGATTTTCATTTTCGTTGCCTCCTATATCATATCATGGGTGCTGTTTGGTTTCACGTGGTGGCTTGTGGCGTATTTGAGAGGCTCTATAGTTTGTGTTCATAAGGTATGGTAATTGTTTCTGTAAAAGTAACGTATATTTAGTACTGTGTTTTAGTTACTTTTAGATCTCTTCCCTTCTTGGTCTCCCCTGCCTACCGGCTCCCCTGGTTTCCCCTCCCACCCACATACACAGTGTTCAAAAGGCTTGTTTTCCTCCAAACCTTCAAAGAACAGCCCTTTTCGCTTTTCTTATTTGCATTTGATATAATCCAGTTATTTTGGAAAATTTTGTAGTTTCTGTCAAAAATTTCCCTGCATCCACATTAAAGATGATTTCCAGTCTGTACTGCGCACTCTCGAGAGTTTGTTCACATTTTTGTTTTGTTTCTGGCATGTAACATTCTCGTCCCCAGAGGCCGCGCTCCTTTTGGTCAGCACCAAGAATTGCGACTTCTGGAAAGGTCCAGTGAGATTTCGGTTCTGACTGGCTTTGCAAACACAATAGAATGAGACTGGAACCAATCAGATTTGTCAGACTTGACTCTGAGCACGCACAGAGTGACGGAAAGTCCATGAATCGCAGACTTCTGGTGTTGGACCTGACCAGAGGAGGAGCGCGGTCTCTGAGGACGAGAATGGGCATGTAAGACATCACAATATGGAAACATTTCGCAACTACTTATATGAATAAATTCAAAGTTTCAAAAGAACCGCCATTATGCATGGATGCGAAGCTTTTTGCTTCGTTCTTTCTCATATCACTTGATGAAACTGCTTCGCAGCTGTAAAAATCAATGAAGCTGTTGGAAAAAGAATTTGAAAGACCTTAAAGATAAGGTATYTGTTTTGTAATGAATAACAACAATTTGCATTCCATCGAGTGAGAACMTATKATGTTTATAAACATTAATGTAATATTTGTATCTTGAGATAAAGCATTAAGAAAACAAAAAAATAAAAAGTAAATAAACATCAGGTTGCTGAGACTGCGCAGTACGAAAGTCCTGGAAATCATCTTTAAATTACGTTGTAATCAAATGAGTAAAGTTAACCATGAAAAGGGCTAATTTGCATGATGTTGAGGGTCCAACATAGGCGGCTTTTTCAAATTATCTGGCATCCTTTCACTGTTTTTGCCCCAATCCCACCCTCCTGCCCCAGTCAGAATGTTTATCTCAATTCTGCCTGGTTAGAGTTGCAGTTTTCCGTGTGATGTCTGATTTTCTGTTTTTCATCTTGCATTCCGCCGTCAATTTTAAAACTATTCTGCATTCTGTCTGTCAAAATGAACAAATTCCTTTCCCGCCAAAATATTTTTATCCCACATCCCGCTTATTGGAAAGTCCTCTCATCCCGTATTCCGCCTTCGTATTTACTCTCATCCCACATCCTGCCCAATCTATGTTGGTTGCTTGATGTTATCCCTCTTTGTTGATCATATAACTTTCACTGACAAATTATTATATCCTACTGACTAATGCAAAGCTTTTAAAGGCTTGGTTCTTAAAAAAGAAAAATCAATGCCATAAGTAACAATGGTGGAACAATGTTTAGCAGAGGTCCACATTTCCACATGCAAAGTTACATTTTAAGTTAGATGATGGGGAAAATGGAAGGAGTATAACTCCTGGTATGACTGTGCACCCTCAATGAGCAACCAATTTTAAGTACTGCATCTAGCAAATTTTGTGTAGGAAGTTTGCCAGATTTGAACCTTAGAGTGATATCCTTGCACACTGTAGCTGAGTCAGCAGTATCAAGTTGGTGTCAAAATTGGACTGCAGTTCATCAAAATAACACAGTAAAAAGTCTTTTTCTAATTTACTGAAGAACAAGCTGCTATTTTGTAGCACAACTAGTATCCCACCCAGCAATGCTTGGAGATTGGGTCACTAATTACCTAAGAGACCCAGGATATTAGTTAAAATGCAAAAAAAATGAAATAAATTTGTCATTTGTCTCCAATATATTATTATTATTATTATTACCAATATTATTGTTATTGTTATTGTTATTGTTATTGTTATTATTATTTATTGTGGTCTCACTTTTGGTGTTCTGAATGAAATGTCACTATTGTTTTTGCCTTCAAGGTATCTTTTAGGGTTGCATTTGAAGAAACAATAGAGAAAAACGCTGGCATGTTCCTTTTAAAGTGTATCACAGGGGAGTTCTAACCCCCCCGGTTAGAGACCACGAGGAGGCGACTTGGCCCAGTGGTTTTGGGCTCTGGATTTGAAATCTGAGGTCTTTGGCTCAAATTCTCTCCCCCTACCGCTATCTGGATTTGTTCTCGGTAGTTCCGAGCTCAACTCTTCGACCGCGTTGTGTAAATAGCTCCGCTGGGATTCTTAATAGTTTATGTTCTATTTGCAATATTGGTTTATTTATTTACAGTGTCCCCAACTAGCGCAACAGTGCTAAATACATTTGACACTTACATAAAGCTATTTATTATTTTATTATGTATTTATTACACGGATTTTTAGCTTGTTTTGCATGACGTGTTCACGCGTAGATGCAACTGGCAGTATTCCTTACACCTGACATTGGCTTTTGTTTATCAAACAGGTAAACAACTGGACGTCTGCATTTCTCTTTTCCGTGGAAACTCAAGAAACCATTGGCTACGGGCAGAAAGCAATAACGACGAATTGCCCCGAGGCCGTTATACTTCTGCAGCTTCAGTCGCTGGTGGGCTTACTCATCGATGCTTTCATGCTAGGTCTAACATTTGCCAAGCTTTCAAGGCCTCGAGATCGCATGCGGACTGTGATGTTCTCAGATTATGCAGTCATAGCACCGAGAGATGGCAAAATGTGCCTGATGTTTAGAGTCGGCGACGTAAGAAAGAGTCAGATTGTCGATGCATCTGTGCAAATGCAGCTCTTTAAAACAACAACTACTAAAGAAGGTAAAGAAATCCCCTTTCACCAGGAAGATCTCAAAGTCTGCTACGACTGGCGTAACCCTGACAACGACTTTAGGAATCAACTTTTCTTGCTGTTGCCCATGGTGATTATCCACGTGATCGACGAGAACAGTCCCTTTTATGACGTCACTCCCCAGACACTGCAAGAGTCGGACTTTGAAATTGTAGTGGTGATTGACGGCGTGGTAGAAGCGACGGGATTAAACACACAACCCAAATCTTCCTACTTAAACAGTGAAATTTTGTGGGGGTATGATTTCTGTAACACTCTGGAGAAATCTCATTTTGGTGAGAACGGCTTTTACAACGTTGATTTCTCCAGGTTGAATGACTTGCATACTGTGGACACACCAAGGTGTTCACCAAAAGAGTATTACAGACGCCAACGGAAGGCGGAAACGTAGAACGTTAAACGGTCTTTTTGATTTAAAATTAATTTAGTCTCCACGCTCTTGGTCCCAGGTCCCCTGAGTTGGCGTTAAGTTTTGAAGTACATTGTAATATATCAGGAGCTATAATCGGGGACGGAGACCGTAAGCGCGCGCCATTTCTAGTATTGGGGTTGTCCCCATGATATGGGACAATAATTCTATTTTTAGAACAAATGACGCCATCGCCTGCGGCACACGCGCGTACATGCTGCGAGGATTTTTGCGGATGTCGCGAGGGGGAAATGGCGTCCGAAATTCCCGAAATTTTTTCATGTTTTTGGCCCACAACTCAACGCGTTTACGTCTGTCGGGATTTTTCTTAAGTATTTTCGTCGTAAGCTGCTCCAGTTTGAGTCAAGTAAGACAGTGTCGAATTTAGGTATGTTCCGCTTTAAGCTTATATATATCGCTGACCAAGTTGTGTTCCGACGGATGCTT